GGAAATGGGGAGACAATAAGCTGGCAATATATATTTCTTGGTAAAACTGATCCCGTCGATTTAGATTTGGCTGATTACACAAGGGATGTGCAAGCACAGATCAATTGGAAAGAGGACTGTGAGGGGGGTTTTTGTTTGTTTTTGTTTTGGTCCTCCATAAGAAGTCTGTTTATTTAAATGAAGATGTGGAATCAATATATGGAAATCCATTCCACATGTGCGAATGCCTCTGTCTCTCTTTTTCCCCTCCTTCCTGCATTCCTCTCTGTCTTAGGGAGCAGGGATGAGAGTCTGGAACACAAGGGCAGCTCTTTGCTTTAGATGTCTGGGTGACACCCTCCATAAAAGAAGCCCTGAAGAGCTGCTTTTGAGTTTCCTCCTTCCTGCTTACCTCTACACCTTCAGGGGTGGGGGTGAGAGTCTGGAGGGGCAGAGAGGAAAACAGGAAGGAGGAACTCAAGGGCAGCTCTTCAGATGTTCTTTCATGGAGTGTGTGTCACCACGCATCAGCTAGGCAGCTGTGAAAATAGTAAGGTAAAGGTAAAGGTTCCCCTTGACATTTAGTCCAGTCGTGTCCGACTCTAGGGTACGGTGCTCATCCCCGTTTCCAAGCCATAGAGCCAGCGTTTGTCCGTAGACAGTTTCCATGGTCACGTGGCCCGTGCGACTAGACACAGAATGCTGTTACCTTCCCACTGAGGTGGTACCTATTTATCTAGTTGCATTTGCATGCTTTTGAACTGCTAGGTTGGCAGGAACTGGGACAAGCGACGGGAGCCCACTCCGTTGCGGGGATTCGATCTTACGACTGCTTGGTCTTCTGACCTTGCAGCAGAGAGGCTTCTGGAATTTGGCCCACAGCGCCACCCCATCCCGTGAAAATAGTAGCAGCAATTTATAATCATGTGTCTGTTTGTGATTACAAATCCTTCTGTCACATGATCATAAAAATTGTTCAGAACTGTTACCCATAAAGATTAGTGATAAGTAGAGATCGTCACAAACTACTTGTTCGGCAGTTCGTGCCACAAGTGGTTCAGCACTTCAGAGCCCCGCCTGCTCTGGTAGGTGCCCATTTCGGATGCAGCACTCCAGCTTACCTTCTCCACTGCCTCTAGGTGCTGCTTCACTGCCCGCCAAAGGGGGTGGGGCATTGAACCATGGAACAGCCATGCAGCCGTCAGCCGAACTGGCACGAACCACCGAACTGATGGTTCATGCCCATTTCTAGTGATAAGGAGTTAAACGAATAGCAGGTTGATACATTTTATAATGGTAATAAAATTTTGGAGATTCATTTTTAAAAAATATAGCATTTTTCACAAAGGGAGGGAGGATTACGTTTACCTAATATTAAATTTTACTATGCAGCCAACCAATTGAGACATATCCCTGATCTTATAGTTAATAGCTAAAACATAATTTAGAGCAATCTTGAGTTTTGCAAAGAGATATGGAAAAGAGTTTTTAAAGGAAAATACCAAAGATATTATAAAAGATATATAAAATCCCTTCCTAAGTAATATGTTGCAATGTTGGAAAAGCTACAAGAAAATATTGAGTCAATTGATTTCTCCATTAAGTCTAGTGGTTGAACTGGGAACATTTACTGAAAAATCTTAGGAGAGGTGTAAAAAGCTTATTAGTAGAGCAAGGAGTTATCAGAATAAAAAATTGGTTAAAGAAGAGATATAGAGAACAAATGAGAGTGTGTTATAGTGTTACAAGGAGAAGGAGGAATTATATCAATATAATTCAACTAGAAAAATGAACTAAAGAATGGAGGAAAAAATTAGGAGAGTGCAAAGCTTTGACAAAATTTGAAGAAAGTATTTAAAAAGGGAATAAGGTAATAAAAGTAAAAAGGGATAAATATAATATAAGGTACTGAGAAGAAAAAAAATAAATATTATTAAAGAGGTATGACAGTTAAATTTAAATGACAAAATTAGTTGTAAGGATTGGAAGAAGATGTGGCATAAAATAATATTGAGGATTATGTATATAAGAGTTAAGGAAAATTATTATAAAGTATTACGGAGATAGTGTTTTACTCTGATATAACCGGATTTAATGAATAATGAAGTACCACTTATTTGTTGGAGATGTAAGAAAGAACTGGGTACATATTTTCATGTTTGGTAAACATGAAAAATGATGCAGAAAGATTGGACAATGATACTTAATGAGATAAAGATAATTGGGGGTACAAATATGTGAAAACATTCAGTGATAGCTTTGTTGAACATGTTTAGAAATAGTCAAATAGAATGGGGGAAATTAATTATTATTATGGTAACTGTAGCAAAACTGATATTTGCAGGAAATTGGAAGAGTAATGATTGTTTTAATATGAAAGAATGGTAGGAAGAGATGTAGAATATTGCTATTGATAAATTAACATGTAAACTGAAAAGTTAAAAAAGGAATATTGAAAGTAAATAATTTTAAGACTATATGGAGTGTATTTTTAGAATAGGTGTTTGGGAAAGGTAAAAGTTATACTCCATGACAAGATTAGGATGGAGGGTGCACTGAATGTAAGATACATTTTATGTTGTGTTTCAATTTTGCTTTTGTATTTTTTCTTTCTAGTTTTGTATTATTTTGTAAAGTTTACTTTTAAAATTTTGATTTAAAAACTAATAAATCATTCTGAACAACACCACTGCATATTCCCATATATTCTGATGTACACTCGAAATGTAAACAACCTTTAGCTGAGTATTCAGCACATCCCCCAAGTGTCTTGGATGGACCTTGTCTCCAACTGATCTGCATCTCAATTGTTTACATGTGAGTAGTAGGATACCATGCCATTCACAGCAAGGGATGACTGGATGAACCAGTCAGCCCTGGGTTTCCATCAATTTCCCATGCATTCATTTGGAAGTGTGTTCTGTCCTGTTTCTGCATCAATGTGAAATTGTTTTAAAAGCATGAACATTTCCATTAGCCCAGAATATATTTGTGTACACATTTTGCTGAGAAATATAAAGTTATGTGCCCAGTGTCTCGAAAATACTCACTTCTGAATGTTAATGTGTAACACACACACATTTTTATTTTGACTTTGTGTGAAGAATTCCATCTCGAAATTCAAGAAATGGTCAAAAGCGCAGGCCAACTCCTTGTCAATCCATGTATGAATCTGGGAAGTGTGAATCTAATCCATTTGCTTAAAATGCAGACTGAACAAAATCCTCAGTTATCCCTACTATGCTCTGCTACCACACATTGCATCTGCTGAAGTGTGTTTTGAAACTGTAATGGTCACGGCACCATGGCAGATAATAAACTTTGGAAAAAAGTTTTTTGCAACAGTAGAGGAATGATTAAATGAGTGCATTAAGGGATAGCACCTCCAATAATATGTCATCTGTGACTTATCTAGATTCTGTTTATGAGTCTGTAACCCATTAAGCGATTTGCATGGCCAATAGAAACATTGTGAAATAACAACAACAAGAGAGGGAGGCTCAGGTATCTGTTACAGTGGGGCCTTGACTTGAGAACTTAATCCGTATTGGAAAGCGGTTCTCAAGTCAAAAAGTTCTCAGGTCAAATCTGCATTTCCCATAGGAATGCATTGAAAACCATTTGATCCGTATCTGCTCTTTTCCGTCCATAGCTGCTATTCTGCCTTCGACCACTAGAGGGGGATACTTTGTTTCTTTTTTTCTTAGGTCAAGAAAGGTTCAGGGAAGGCAGGGAAAATACAGTCCAGGCAGTACAGTACCAGGCAGTCTGAAGACTGTCTCCCAATCCACTCTCTAAATGCTGGGAAGAGCGAGGAAGCAGACAGGCACCCTTTTCACTGGCCAACAGTTAACTGAAAGTTCACATTTTGCACTTTCCCTGCCTCCCACGTGTTTTTTTTTAGTTCTTAACTCAAATCTAAGTATGTAAGTCAAGTCAATATTTTCCTATGAGAGCGGTTCTTAAGTCAAAATGTTCTTAACTCAAGCCGTTCTTAAGTCAAGACCCCACTGTATATGGGAATAATGCCATCACAAGGTGCAGCCCTTTACCTTCTGTGCGAGGGTGAAAAATATTAATTCTTGGAAGCAAGCTTGTATGGAACCTCATTTGTACTTTTGGAATGTGTGATTAGGGATGGGATTTTTTGATTTCTTGGACTACAAACCCATCATTCCCGATCCTGAGAGTTCCACCTGACAGCCTCTACAGGAGGGCTTAGAGGCTTAGGTAAGCTTAATTCCATCCAAGCTTCCTATTGCTGCCCCAGTGCTAACTGGGAGCTTTCTTCCTGAAGAGGAAGCTAGGTGAAGATAGGTCTAGCTAAGCTTTCCCCTAGATGAGCCTCATTTATGTGTACTATAGAACTCCTTGGGGTTTGTAGTCCAAGAGATGCAAAAATTCCATCTCTGCAGAAGGCAGAAGGCGGCCTTCCAGTTTTTACAATTTAATTTATGTGGCTAGTATATGGTTTTCCAGTTTCAGGGAGGCAACAAAAGAAGTGTTTACTGAGCCTCTGGTGCTCCAGTACTTATGAGCAGTGGCCATACTCAGTATTAGAACACTTGCATCCTTAAGTATTTTTTGGTATCTGTCTACTTAGTGTACTTTAGCTTCAAATATTGTCTTTTAATTATGTAAAGGCCTTAAAATATTTTAAAGAGAGAGAGAGAGAGAGAGAGAGAGAGAGAGAGAGCTGATACGCATCTGTGCCTCATGGCCAGTGCTCAACTCATTCAGCACAATGGATTTTATGATTGGTCACGGAAGATAAGCAAAACCTTACACCCCCAGTCTGATTACCGAGGCACACCTCCCTAGTTAATATTTTCACTCAAGTGAAAACATTAATCGCAAAGAGTCCACATTTTTTGTAATATCTACTTTGACCTGCAGGGTGTCACATGTTCCGTAGGCGACACCAAAAGATTTTGGCATTCATGCAAAGAAATCCAGAATTGTAACTCTCTTGTCTTTTTGTTTTATTTTGTTTTGTTTTTTTGCTGCTCTTATATTTTCAGAGGCAACTGTTCTAAGCTACGATGGAAGCATGTTTATGAAAATACAGCTCCCTGTGGTGATGCACACAGAGGCAGAAGACGTGTCCTTACGGTTCAGGTCTCAACGAGCTTACGGCATTTTAATGGCCACAACTTCGAGGGAATCTGCTGACACACTGCGTTTAGAGCTGGATGCAGGACGAGTTAAGCTAACAGTCAACCTAGGTAACAGTCTTCCCCAGCTCCCACCTTAAAATTAACATTTCAAACATCCTTCCTTGTCTTTGCCTGCGAACATCTTTTCCACAGCCTGTTTGCCACTGCAAATAAATAGTCATCTATATATGCAACCTGTGTGCATATCTATGTATATGTAACAGAAGCATATATTTTTACAAGTACATTGTTTCTTTTAATTTTATGTATGTCTTTGCACACTTCACCATAATGCATCACAATTAATTTGAAGGTGCATTCTGTTCTAACTGGAGAAGACCAATGTATCAATCACTTTAACAGGGAACCTGTAACTTCCATTATCCATACCCAGTAAAAATGGATTTAGCTTCAGATTTTCCCATGTCTCTCTCCTTCAGAAATCTGGTGGCTCCTTGAGCAAAGAGAACAGATACCTATCTGCATTATGTATGCAGATGGGAACTAACTGTTTGGGAGGTCCCAATAGGAAAGACAGCTGCAGTGTAGCCCTAGATCAGTGGTTCCCCAGATGTTTTGGACCAAAACTCCTGGAAGCCTTCACCACCAGCAGTGCTGGCCAGGATTTCTGGCAGTTGTAGTCCAAGTACATCTGGGGACCCAAGATTGGGAGCCACTGCACTAAAATGAGGACTCTAGGGATCCAATGGAGCTTAGGGAGCTACCACCGAATATATTGATCTTCAGTAAATGTCTTGATCTCCCCCTTAGTAGCGTACAGTGAGAATCACAGTTATTTTCACAGAAGCTAAGCTACACTTGTTGCATGAGTACAACTGGATTGCTGTATCCGCAGGTTCAATACCAGCAGTTTCAGTTATCTGCTGCCTGAAAATATTAAATATAAAAGAAGAGAGAAATACATGTTTCCAAGGTGTATTACTAGAACTGGTCACTAGACTATGCTATATATAGGGTTTGCATAGCTGCAGTTTTCAGCTTCTGTAGGGCAGCTTAGAACCAATCCCCCTGTGGAAACGGCAGTCCTACTGTACTGCTTATTGCTTGTATAAAACAGTGTTGTTTTTTCCTATAGTCTATGTCCAATATATTATTGGAACCAACTCAACTAAAATCAGTTACTTCTCTAATCACTTCTCAAACATTATCAGTATGTTCCCTGTGATTTTAGCATGAGGGGTTACTATGTACAGAAAAACAGGTAGTGCTGACAAGCTGAGTATTTGCTTGTTTTTGTCTTCTCTGTAAAGCAGCGTGGCACTAGATGCAATCAAATCCACCTCTCACTTCCCATCTTCATCTTTTTCCCCCCATTTCTTTAGAAAGCACAAACCATAGTGATATTGTGTATGTGTCTGCCACAAAGAACACAACCCTTCAATGCCCAAAGTCTGCGGCCCTCGGCATACAGCCATGCGAACACAAACCACAGAAGCTCTTCTACAGAAAGGAAACCATGCTTTCATAGGTTTTCATGGCATTCGGAAATTATCACTGTTATTCATTGAGGAACCTAATGCAGGCTTATGGAAATCTCTTCCTTTTGTGATATTATTTTCAAGGCCTTTTGAACAGTGCTTTTAAAAGCTAACTCTGAGGTGATTTCCCCTTTAAATTGCAAAAGTAGTAGTAGAGACTGATAGATTCAAAATCCATTTTTGAGGAAAGCTTGGTCATTGAATTTTGATGACGCTAATTACATTTTGCAGGAAGGAAGGAAATTTGTACATATTAAATACAGAAACTCTTCTCTAGGTTCATACAGAGCCCTCTAGTGAAAACTCCGATTTATGGCAAGCTGAATCATTCCTTCAGTTGACAAAATGGCAGCGTCTAGAAAAAGGGCTCTTTCAAGAAAGCTTTCTGTAGAAAAAAAATGTGGGTGATGTTCCCTGGCTGTTTGCAACCACTTTTCTGATGCGGTTGACGACACATGACAAACTCAGCTACATGGAAACATAATCTAGGTAATCTTTAAAAACATATTTTTGTATATATCCTGAAAGACCTCGAAGAGGATTCAACAAATACACTCATCATTGGAGCCCAACATTTTGATTCACTGTGCAAAATCAAGCTCAAGGCAAACATTTGTTTTACAAATACAAAATTAAATGAAAACTTTGTCCCATCTTTTCAGAAGCCCAACCCCCACCAGAAAGTAGATGAAAGTAGAGAAAGTGGGAAGTATACAAAATAGCAAACCATTTAGATTTAGATTCCCTTTACCCCACTAAAAGATAGATTTCTGATCTGATGAACCAACAATTTCCTTTCTGTTGACCGAATGACTTAAATAGAGGTAGTGCCATTCCAGTGGTAAAGAGACAATGTAATGCAGTCTCAATATTGCAATATGATGTAAAGCTTTTAAGAACTGACTGCTTCCTTGAGGAATTAACTGTGGCCCAGAATGTGTGATTTTAGGCTGAGCTTGCACTAGTCCCCATTGTGATAGAGCACTTTTTTAAAAATTAAAATCGAGAATCTGTTCTTTCACACATGGGGGAGAAAGTTGCAGCCTGCTTAAAGCCAACATCTGGAGCAGTTCCCACAATCCTCTCCCCACCCAACCCATACTTAGATTTGTCACCATGTAGCTTTGTTTGAAATTGGCCATATTTTATTTTACCCTATACAATCACTTCTATTTATAAAGTCTTATCACCATATATCTGCGTTTTGTGGCAATATGGAGAGAACCTGAGCACACAGTGGCCATGTTTGCATGTGTCTGTCCCCGGAAGGGTGGAATGTGATTTTATTGGATGTCTGCAGCTATTACTTTGAAGGATAAATTTTCATTTCTCATCTATTCTTCCCCATCTAGACTGTATCAGGATTAACTGTAATTCCAGTAAGTGCCTATTCAAAATTTTTAAACTTATGATGCAATATTTATACATTTTAAATTGAAATGTGGGTCATGTTATTTTTGCTTATTTTTAAAAAAATTGCATTTGGAAAAGATAATAAATTACACAAAAGCACAAAGAAATCATCACAAAATAATCCATTGCTTTTCCGCTGTGTTTTTTTTTTCTCCTAGAAGTAAAAAATTTGTGATGTCTTTTCTGAAAAAATAATGATGATGAAGGGCTTTTAAAGGAAACCAAAAGCACCGCAATAAAGTTTGAGAAATTTCTCAGTATATTCCTGGGATCTTTAGGATGTCCATGAGATTTTCCCTGAAGTGACAGTCCAAAAAAATTGTGTAGATTACTCCTCAGGTAAAACATCTGAGGGATTTTGAAGGACTCTATGAATGAAAGCACCAATGCCAATGGAGAAAATAATATTATGGTCAGCAACCTGTTGGCTCATTCAACAAGAATGATGTCACCATTATCATATTCAACAAGAATGGTGTCACCATTATCATCAGCCTGCCACTGATCAAATCTTAATCAGAGGCAATCTGCTGCTGACAATTACATCATTCTCACTACAGAAAGTCAGGCCATAGTGGTGTAGTAGGATAATCCACAGGCACAACATGTGCCATTAACTCACTACATACCTCCCCTTGTACATTAAAAACATACTGAAGCACTGTTTCTCCACTGCTTTGGTTAATGGAAGAATGAAGAGTGTGTGCGCTCACAAGTCTGGCCACCGACCACATGTCATTGGAGAAGGATGGCATTAATTTTCTACCTGGTGAGACAAACTTTAAAGAGTGGTAGAATAAATTGTTTTCTCTGCTAGCAGAAGCAGTCCAAATTACCCTAATAGCCGAAATGTTTCAGCATACTCTTTGTTGTAGTGAAAGGCCACAAAAGAAATGAAGGAACTCTTTATTTTGGACGGAAGTGAACATGGTCCCTGACAGAGGGTAGTTTGTGTCCAAAATGTCTTAGATGGAGCAACAATTAGGACTGCTGCATCAAAAGCAATTAACTAAAAATAAATTCTAAAATTTCTAAAAATAAATGAACCTTTCCAGGTTCATTTCATGATTCCCTACCCTCAGCAGGCATGCGTGGAAAGACACTGTAATAGCCAAAGTACATAAGGGCATGTTTAAAAGGCCCTAATGTCTATGAACAAAAGAATATTATAGCAGTCATAGTCCGTTCCTTTCTGGGAGTCCAGTGTGACCGTGGACAATAAGGTATCTGCTGAGGTGCTAGGCCTGGAGCCACTTGGCTTCCAAGTAGCAGTGAGGAGCTCGGTAGCACTTAACGTATATGTTGAATTTCCTTTCAATAATTGATCCAATGGGTGCACTTCAAGGAGCCAACCATTGGACTCAGCTCCACATAAGGAGAGACACTCATTTGTCGAGTGCATTCTCCCCATGGAAAATCCATGTCTGCATGGCTTAGTATCTTGATCTTAAACAAAAAGAGGAAGGGAAAGTGAGAGAGGTAGCAATAGAGCCAACATGTCATGCAATATATAGCCCTTCGAGTCTGAACCCTAAGAAGAGTGTGGCAGTTCTTTGTATTATTTCCATTCTTATTTTTTCCATTTTTGCAATTCCCCCAAAGAGTTTATTCCTACTCCTAAATATATATGCATTTGCTAAATGCATATTGCTTAGTAATAAGAGACAGAGAGAAGGCATACAGGCTTTTTTTTTTTAAATAGCCTACAATATTATTATTTTTGTGATGGTTTCTTTTGCACACTGATCAAGTAAGATCTCTCAGACTGAATGTTTTTTTTCCTTTGTTCTCCACATCATGCTTAACTGATGATAAATATTTAACCTCTCTGATATCATTATATGTTCTGAAAGAGGATTGTGGACTGTGGTTTTATTTTGAGACTGTGGATCTCCCAAACTTTCTCTAGTAAGTACAATAGATTCCTTACAGTGGGAAGGATGTTCAGCATTGAATATATTCTTTGACAAAAGCAGCTCTGTTAAACCAAGTGGCCAAGGGTATGACTTTATCAAAACTAAACCATTAAATTCCTATCAACTTCAGTAGGAGATATTCCAGTGTGCACTTAACTCCTACATGAAAGATTAGGGGACTCAAAAGTAGTCATCTTTGTTGGGGTTATGCTTTACCTTTCTGTACACCAAAGTACATTCCTGTCATTTAAGAGGCACTTACTGAGTTCGATGCAGTGCAGGAAAGGGAGAGGGGAACGCTTAATGGATTATTCTCAAAGGTACATTTCTCAAAACACAATGGCTGGAATCCTGTTGCACAGCTCCGAGTGCAACAAGAAAATGCAGCAACGATACTGAAATCTGCACAACGGTTGTGATGGGAACCCATACAGCTAATTGCACAATTGAATTGTTGTGATCCTCTTTGCCTAGGCGTAGTAGTGCCTGGCAAACCTACATGGACACAACTTTACATTCCAGAAAAGCAAACAAGAATTCAGCTTCTTTTATTTGTATTTTTGTTCGTTTTGTTTTGCTCCTGAAACTATCCAGACCACTTATTTGCGCAAAAAAGAAAAAAAAACTACAAAGGTTTGTAAGCACCTTATCTAATTTGCTGTTTTAGAGTGAGCAAATGGTGAGTTGTAGGTTTTTCAGTATGCAGTACTGTAACATAGAAAGTAAAAGAGAGGAGAGAAAGGAAACTAGAGCAGATGTAGATTATTTTAAATCCAATGGATACCTCCCATGCTGTGTTTGTAGCGGTCAAAGCACTTTCTTTCTCTCAGCAACCAGCCCTCTGGAGTACCAAAAACCTGTTGAGCCTTGTTTCCTCCAGAGCAAACTTTCAAGAGGGAAGCAGGCTGCAAGAAACTGGCAAAATCTGCTTTTTTTCTTATGGAAGCACTGCTGGGTTCTGGATCAAATATTGATTTATTTTCTCAATAGTTTTTAATTCCAAGCTTTTTTTAAGAAAAATTCACATTCAAATATATTTTATATTTAATATATTTTATATTTAAAATAAAACATGTATGTTATACGTTATAGTGATATGTTATATTTAATTGCTTTTGGTTTAGAAGGAATAAGCATAACCAGTAACACTTTAAATAGTAGTGTGTCAAAAATATGAAAACAAAAAACCTGTTTCTCGGTCATGGCTGATGTTTGAAGGGAGGTATATTTCCATATCTAAAGAAGGATTGTTCTTGCAATTCCAAATAGGCCTCTGTGCAGAGCAGAACTAAGCCAACTATTATTTTAACTATAAAAGAAAGCAGTAATTTGTTACAAACACAATAAGCAGCCTTGGTTATGGTGGGGAAAAAGGATTGGCTGTCTGGAGCCAACCACAGTCAGTACAGGAGGATTCTCAGATTCCCAGTAGGCTGTCCTATAATTATTTCCTCTAAGCAAGAAACTCTTTGAAAGAAGTCTAAGGGAAGTGCCTACAATGTTGACTTCCAAACTTCCACATAAAAGCCACAAGAGATGCTGTTTCCACGGTGTGAGTCAGCACATTTGTTCGAAGAGTCAAAATTTCAGTGATCAGCTCCCTGGCCAGGAGGGCCACCAGCACTCTAACTCTACAAGCAAATAATATTCTGTATTTGCAA